GTTGTGATCGGGGAAAGGAATGATACTGGCACAGATACCCAGAATCATGGCCGGGTGAATCTCGCAATGAGTGTAGGCGTGGATGCGTGGGTCTGGTAGTGGCTTGAGACGTCGAAGACGATGCTCGCCTTCGGTAGAACGCTCAGCCGCAGGTAGGCCCATCTTCATCTCTCGCCACTCTTCCAGATCCTCAGGAGAGAACGTTATCATGGCAGTCTCCTCCTCCTCGGCGTCAAGGTATTCCACAACACCATCCTGAATAAGACCTCTCCAGCCGTAAGTGGCTTGCTCAACCTCATCCTGACTCCACCCCTGTCGTGTGCTTGTCTCCATCTGTTCCTGCTTCAGCTTGTTACTGATTTCCTTGGTAAAGATGAGGTGGTTGCGGTTCGGTTTCCGAATGTCGTTCTCAACAACGAATAGCGGTCTCATGACACGGCCAGCATCTGTAAAGATCTTGAACTCTCGGTCACGAATGTCACGAATCAAACTCATCTCGTAGGATAGAGTTCCGTTACGTCGCAGCTCCTGCACGACTGTGACAAGCTGTTGGGCGTTGGAGTGAACACCAACCCAGACACCGTTGACGAAGACCTTGGTCGCATCTGGGTTCTGGTTTTGGTCGTACTCTTCCAAAAGCTGCATGTTTCGCTGTGTCATGAAGTCGATGATAGGCGACGCGTCGCTACCGACACTGACGTAGCACATCAAAGACAAGTTCTTGACCAGACCACAAGCTTGTCCTTCAGGAGTCTCGGCAGGGCAAACAAGACCCCAATGGGAGTTGTGAAGTTGTCGCGGCTTGGCTAGCTTGCCGTCACGACCGACTGGGGTGTTCGTTCGACGCAAATGCGACAATGTGGAGGCGTATGTGTATCGGTTCAACACCTGGGAAACACCGGCCTTTGCGGAAGCGGCCTTCTTCTGGTCACCCCAGTTACCTGTTGCCAAGGAGTACTTCAACCCGTTTGTGATGATGCTGGCCTTGACAGCCATCTGAACGTTGAAGTCCTGGTTGTTCTCAACGCATCGCTGAAGGTACTTGTACACGTCCTTGGTGAGCTTCAGGAAGAGAATACGGAACAAGTTGGCAACCAGAGGTCCAGCGAGATCCAGACGCTTTTTACCGAAGTGATCACGATCGTCCTCGTCGCGGCGACCCAGCACACACTGCAAAAGGCGGTGGATCATGTAACCGAAGAAGTAGGCCTTGCGTGTGTCCTGGCCCTCTTTTTGGGAAATATGCGGCAAGAATTCTCTCTGCATAATGTCCCTCGCGAACTTGAGACGCCTGTCCTTCGTGCCTGAGTTGGCGCCACGCTTGGCAATGAAGTCCAGAGCAGTCTCTCGGTCCTGAACAACGGATCCCTCCTCGATACTGGGCTTCAACAGCTCCAGCATTTGTGTGTCGGTGCGGTCGTAAACGATGTGACTGAGAATCTCCTCGTCGGAGACAATACCGAGCGCGCGGAAGACGATGGCCATGGGCACATCCGCCTTGATGTATGGGAGGGTAGCGTATGCGAAGGGACCGGGGATACGTTTTCCGGGACCTGCGAGTGAGTTCTCCGCCCACTTGATGTTGAACGATGAGATCAACCGGGTGCCCTTCTCGACCGCACTTCGAATCTCAGCGATCCATGGAATAGGACCCTGCTTCTTTCGGAAGACCTGTACAATGTTCGCGGCACTGCGCTCCTGAGCGATGAGGACTTTCTCACTTCCGTTGATGACGAAGTATCCACCCTGATCGTAAGGGCACTCGTTCAGAGCAAACAGGTCCGCGTCAGACTGCGCTCGCAAATGGCAGAGCTCTGACCGCAGCATGACAGGGAGCTTTCCGATGAAGACTCGCGCCGCAGCGCCATCATCCATTGGCATGTCTTCACGCTCCCACCGAATTTGCGATGGTCCGCCTGTGTAGCCACCCTCCATCTCCTCGTCATCGCCCTCCTCTGGTTCGCGTCCCTCGCGGGCGACCATTATTCGGTTCTCGATATCGGCCAACATGGCACCGGAGTATGTGAGATTCCGTAGACGCGCTTCGTGGGGATAAAGTTGCACCGTGGTGCCGTCGCCTTCGGTGTGTGTTGGCCGCGCCAGGTAGACGCGCCCGAATTTAATTTCATAGCGGCGCTTGATGATGGGGTTCTCCTCCTCATCGGGGTTGTAGGGCGTATTTTGCTCGAGAATGACGCTGCCGTTTTCTTTGACGATATCCTGGATTGTGTTGCGCGTGAATTCATCGTACGAGTCGAGCTGCTGCGAGACCAGACCCTTGGTGTCGAAGAAGGAGCTGATGACCGCCCAGCAGTCCTCGGGCAAGACGCGGTTCTCCTCATCCTCGTACTCGTCCTCCATACCGTCGTAGTCGTACGGCTCGGCCATGATCGCGACTGGGTTGATTAGGCGCGGGGAGGTGAAGGGGGGTGGGTGAGTGCGGACGTGTAGTGTCCTGTCTGTTCCGTATGCGACGGCGGCGACCGCCTCTCAAAGGACGTTCGGTGCTAACGCTCCCCGTCTTAGCGCCACCGCGCATCACGTGATCCCACTAGCGTTCAGACCCATGCAGTCTACCCGTGTCTTCCAGTTCCTGCATCCATCCTATCCCGCGGCAACTTGCATCCCATTTCTAGATCCCGCCATTCGGGCCCAGATTACACTCGGCTCACCTTGGACAATACTATATTCGCACTATACTGAACTGTCTCGAAGTTGGAGGCCTTAAACGCCAGCACTAGATCCTCGTGTCCCCAATCACTGGTGGCCGGACGCTTTCCAGTTTCGACAGTTGGCAAACAGGTCTACATACCGCCGACAAGCCACAGATGAGATCTAGCCCTGTGGTCGCGACAGCATTCATTTTTCAAACCTATTCGGGATGCATTGTTTTATGCCCTAACGCGAAATGTACTCCATATGTCGATCAGTACACTCTGGGCAGTGCGCCATGGCTCAAGAAGGCTGAAATGGCTGGCTGAACAAAGAGAAGGAATTACGCTGCACGGCCACCCCGCGATATCGGGGTCGAGACCGGCATGATGGGCTCTAATGTCAGTTATATAAAGTAAGCTATGATTTCGCGGAAGGATGCCTCCAGAATTCAGCACTCTCACATCCACCGACTACCATTATGCATCTCGTTTCCAATCTATACGTTGGCGCTCTTTTACTTGCAAGCGAGGCTGGTGCAGCTGCCACCACAAAGTCCTTCGTCACTTGCATTACCCAAAATGGCCCTAAGCCGGTCGCTACTGTCAAGACAGCATCCCGTATTTTGACTGTACCATTCTATGGCTTCAAATTCATCACGACGACACCTACCCGAGTCATCACCCCTCCACCAACTACTACAACAGTCACAGTCACAGCGACCAGTGTCACAACCGAAACTTCGACTCAAGAGACCGATACGTTTTCTGAGACAGTCACGACTACCGACACGATGATTACAACGTCCACAGATCTCTCCAGCACGACAAGTTCCACCACTGTCACAGTCACGCTTTCTCGAGCAACTACTGTGGCGGCCCCTGCAGGTTTCCAGCCTGTCCAATCAACCTTCCCCAACCCTGCCAATCGAAGATCCAACTATCCAACAGAAGATGTATCGAACGGATCCGTACTTAAAGAGCGAGCACAGGGGGGAACACGCCTCTTCTTCAAAGACGGAAAGGCACAGTGCTCACCTGCCGTTTACCCCACAGCGGTAACCTGTGCCGGTATTGTAAAAGTAATAACCACGTCCACTATCACCCGAACCGCGAAGACAAAGACGGTAACGGCATCGAAGCCTACCTCTTTGGCCACTACCACAACCACCTCTGTTACAACAACTACGTTAACACCTGTTCGCGCATCAACGACACTTTCTTTCACAACTGGCACAATCACCACACAAACCCAAGTCGAATCCACCACCACCACCTCAGTTGCTACTCAAACGATTGAAGTCGTACAGCCGAGTTCTACTTACTATGCTGCCTGTGGCCCTGATAATGTCATTAGCAAGGTTGGAGGCAATTTCGTTGACACGATCGCCTGGGACTACTCGGATACTCCAGGCCAGGGAGTGCAGCAAGGAAGTGCTGGAACCCCGTATGAGTGCTGCGTCAGCTGTATTAATACGCCTGGATGTGCTGGGTCTTTTTACGTTGCAAGTCTGTGCTATTCGATAATTCAGACACCTGGGATTTGTAGTCCTGATGCTCGGGGGGGCCGCCTCTTTGCATCGGGGGCACAGGGGCAATCGGAAAACTTTTTTGTTAGTAATGGGCTTTGTGGGAGATATTACAAACTTGCGTAACTACACTATCTCTTAAAGCTTTGTTTTACTTCTACACAATGTCACTTTACAAAGAACAGGCTCTCTGCCTACCTGCGGCAACAATTAGCTTAGGCAATAGTCTTGGGCTTAGTAGCCTAGGAACGAGCTATAGATATGAATTCTGTTAAATAGCTAGAAGACACCTCTAAGAAGACTAACGAGACTCTAGTGGGAGATATCATATGTCATGACCTAGAAGTACGCACAGTGAGCAAGCATTCTGGACGTCATATTCACAATCAAGCGAACGCCTTTTGATCATCTGTATTTACGAAGCCCCCCGTTGTTGTCTTTACCTCCGAACGACTCCAAACTTCTTATCGAGCCCCCTTCGCTGCCTGCAAGCCTTGTGATACATTCATTATTGCGTAACAAGGTGAAGACAGCCTTGTCGCCACTTAGACTTACACTACCATATCATTCTTCGTACCTCAAAATGTTCTCGTGACTTTCCAGAATACAAAGATATAGTCCCGTTGCCAGGCGAATCCCGAATCATCTCAATACATCCCATGATACACAGCCACCCTATCCAACACCATAATCTCCAGGTCCACCCTTGCCTTAGCAAAAGCCTTGCTCACCACCTCCGGTAGTATAAACTTGCAACTCGGCCAGCTGCCACCCTCCTGCTTCCAACAACCACCTCCATCATGAGCGCAAAGGCTTTCGCTCATTCGAACTCGGCGCAAGCTGCGCAGTTGAAGCAAAGCTAGTATCCATCCAAACCACTTAATCCTCTCCGGTTCAGACAGGTCCTGGAATTGTCGCGTTTTCGACCCACCCGTGGCGAAGATACCAGATGGGTATCTGAACCAGATTTCTAGTTCGCGTACATTCGGTGGTAGGAGAGGCGTGATATCGCTCCTGAGCTCAAAGCCCACGCGGTTGGGATTTGCTTTCAGGCTACCGCATGACATTTCCTCGAAAAACGCGAAAGCCGGCACATGCAGAATCTGCAAGGCGGTAAAGTTCGTGAATCTAGTTGGGCTCCAAGGTCTCTGCGGTACTTCGTAGCATATGCCAGGCAGGATAGTGAGTTCTCGTAGCGTCTGTTGAGTCGCCCATAAATTAGCGATGCTGCCATCTAGGCCGAGTGTGGGCGCGCCGTCGAGGTACCATGTGAAGCGCAATTTCTTCAGTTGACTAGCAGTGCCAGCTTTCTTCACAGCAGCACGTTCATTGTGTATTGATGGATATGTACACCATTTGTAGTCGATGGAGGTGAGATTTCTGAAGTTGACTGTGTCAAACCATTGGATGGAGCGCGCGGTGAAATACCCGAGCGCTGCGTGCGTGACATTCTCTCGTACGACTAGTGTTTTGGCGGTGGGCAGACCGAAGAGCCAAGTTGACATGGCTAAGTGATGCTCGGGACAGTCTATGCTGATAGGTGTGGTAGTGTGATCTCTTAGCCTGTATTTGACGTTAGCTCCTTGTCGACAATCACGTTTGGTCAGTAATCTTACATTTGAGCAATCTCGGATGATGCGTCCATTTGCTCAAACGTTGATCGCGGATCGTCCAGGATAAAGATGGTCAACTTTTGTAGATTCGCAAGTTTGGCGAGAATCTCCCGAATCGCGTCTCGTTCGAGGGTTAGTTTGCCATATGGGTACGCGCCTTCGAGCTGGCAATCGATTTGTAGTGTTTGTACTGAGCCGGCGAGGTGCGGGGCGGCTGTGAGCGCGATCAAGAGCATCGAGCAGCGTCCATTATGAACTAGAGTATGTTGCGCAGGTACATGGATGTCGCGGTAGAGAAGTTGCTGGGCTGATGCTTTGAAGCTGCGGTGTGTCTATTGAGCTGTTAGCACAAATAATAAGATGTCTTACTACCGCGTTAGCAAAGCATAGCAAGGGGGCTATATACTAGTAATAAGTTAGCAAGATATCTTGAGAGCTATTCGTGGCGGCTACTTTACCCTTGATTAGAGCAAGCCAGGCATCCTTGTTGGCGAGGTAGGCGAAGATCTTGTCCAATATCTCGTTGGCGAAAGTTGTAATCTTCGATTGAGACATGATGTGTTGCAGGCTGTCCCAGAGTCTTCGAACTCTACTAGAGTCATGGGTGTTGAGAAAGTGACTGAGTAGGTGTGTAAACAGGTGGGGACTTGAGTGCATGTCGGTCAAGTTAAGGCTGGTACCTATAGCGTGGATGCGGTAGCGAAATACGATGTGAAGATGACCATGTTGCAGACCGTGCGCGAATTTCAAGAGTGGCGTGAAAGACCTCGCCGTTCAAGCAATCCACATATCTTGACAGTTTCCCTTCCTCTCCTCCCAGATCTCTCCCTTCATGATCCCATGAACATAAGCATCACCGATAAACTCCCACGTGCCTTCACCCTCCCGCAGTATAAGCGGGGTCATAACGCCCCCAACTAGCACAACATGATCTCCAAGCCGACATATACTGGGTACCAGAGCAGGATAAGTGATCTCGGAGTCTGCAAGATCAACCATTCGTGCGCCCTTGCGATTCAACATATGCCCTACCATAGATCTAAACTGCGCTTCAGGATTCACCCAGCCAAAGAGGCGAAGCATACGCTCAATCAAGACGACCGCGATGTAGCAAGTCAAACAGCCGTGGATATTGAATGTGTAAATAAGCCGTAAGAATCGCTGGCGCTTCTCAAAAGCAGCATAAGCGCTTCTTTTGGCTTCTGGGGTGTTTTGTAGTTCGCCAGCCATGAAGGTCTCGTACATGGCTTCAGTCGCAGACTCGCCTGTCGCAGGGTACACTTGCTTGTCGTGCTGGGGCCGAAAGAGAACCTCCCACTCATGAACTTGATGCATGTTGAATTGTAGTATACTTGCTTGTTCAAGTAACGATTGGCGAAGTGGGGCTTTGCGCGCTAGCCAACGGCGTGGTGTGAGTTGCGTGACCTTTGCGACTGTAACTCCAGACAGCCTCAGCATCTTGGGCAAGTCCATTGGGTAGGTACCAGGGTCTGGGGGCATGTTATACGCCTCAAGACCGAAGCCGGGTTCAAATAAAGAGTTGTCCGAAGCATGGTAGTCGCGCACTGTGTAAGCATCATCGGCGAGCATTTCGGCTCTAACCAGCGACATAGGAGTTGCTTCTGTCCACCGCCAGTCCGGAACCCACGATGGGAGTGCCAGTTTGTATTTCGGATCGCTTTCTTCGAGGGGGGTAGTAACGAGACGAGGCACGTGGAGGATTGCCACTTGCCCCTTCTGAAGCGTGCGCGCAGCCAATCGAGTGTACAGTATCTCCGGCGTAAGGTTCTTGTCGTAGTCTGGCTCGATTCCCACATCTCCCAATGCCTTTTTACACCTCATACCGTAGAAAGCGTAAATCTTGTCCCTAGCATCACCGGCAAAACAAACTCGATGTCTCAGCAGCGTCCCAGGCCAATCGAGATCGACGCCATTGGCAAATTCCATCTCACTAAGCTTCATGAGGATGACGTTGCTTAGCCTAGCTCCTTCATAAAATTCCCACAGCCACAGTTGACTCGTCAACAGATACAGGTATGCAGCCAGCAGCGAATTCCAGGGTATCTTGGCGCTTCCACACATGAACCACACTGAGCTGGAAACCACGACTTCTTGCATGATCCAGGATCGCTCGAAGTAAGGCCGATCCAGCAACTTCAGCAAAGTCTCGAGTGCCGGGTCGCCTACCTTGACCTTGACGCGAATATCTTTCTCTTTCTCTTCCTCCGGTGTCAAGACTATTTGTTTCTGTTCAGCCATTTCTCGTCGGTAGGTTGTGTGCAGTCCAGAAGCGTATTTGAACGCTTCTTCTACCCCCTTCTCTTCCGGACCCAGCCAGCTCACAGTGACAGAAGCCTTCATATAGATCTGTCGCATCTTTGGTACTTGCGCGGTCTTCTCTTCATCGTCTTTCTGGTTCAAGCACACGCTGTCGACCCACAAAGTGCGTGCTTTCTGCCAACGCCATCCTCGAATCTCATATAGCAACGGTATCAACGTGCGCGGTATTTCGAGAATATTGTCATTCTCCAGATCACGAGGTGGGGCCGCATTGGTGATATGGATGGTAGCGTTGTATGGCTCACGACCCCAGTTGTAGGAGATGGCATAGAACTTCGGAGCTTCTGACAGCAGTGTTGAGTATAGTCGACCGGTGATGGGGCCACTTGGAGGGCCCCTGTGAACTTCCAGCAATCGTATATATACATCTTCTGGTTTGTGAGGAGTTGGAAGTGGTTGGTATTGGTATGGCATGTTCGTGTGCCAAAAGAGACAGATGAATTTCGATAGACCACGGAATAGCCGGACATGTCCAGTATGGAAGGTACATGTCTTCAGATATACCTAATGTGCGTATCGAAGACTGGGTGTGATACATCCATTGCATTCCCTTGGGGGCGTCATCCTCGAAATAAGACCAGCCCAGACCTGCCGAAAAACGCCTTATCTTCAGCTTGCTCTTTTGAGTACAGAAGAAGAGGCGCGAGGCCAGATGAAGATGCGCATTTGCGGCTGAAGTTTGCAAGGCTACACGAAGGCCGTGTCATTCGCTTGTTCGGATCCTCGATCCGGCCATTGGAGCATACTAGTTCACCTGTATGTTCAGCTGGTGTGCTGTTGTGTTGTGATTAGTCCGGCACGACATGATATTCCTCAAGAAAGCGGGCGTGTATCTCCCTGTCGAATGCAGGGTCGTCGCATAGCTAGCTATGTGGCTTCGCGCGGCGCGTCGGCGAAACGGTACGTGGCGGATGAGGTTTGCGTGTTGCTTGCGTGCTTGCTTACGAAGAAGCTCGTTTATTCCGTGCCAGGCCCTAGACCGCATTCAGCGTAGCGCCCATGCTGAGGAAACCTTGGAATCTTCCCGAGGTCCCGAAGTCGTCCAAAGGGAAACTCACGTACTCGAATGGCCACGACGCCCATACCAAGAAATGCGTAACAAAATGCTTATCGCGAGCAGAACTCCAGTTTACAAGATCTGCTACCCCACAAGTGATGGGCGCGGTGTGGGCCCTAGCGCTCACCCTCCGTCTCCACCTGGAGCACCGATCCTTCACACCCTCACATGGCCCGACTGCTAGCGCCATCGTCCCACCCAAGAGTTCTTGTTCTCCCGTGGATCGAGGTTTATAAGGTTGCACAGCATGTTACAACGCGGGCGCCTTGCCCTCCATAAAGTTTGTCGGCCCTTTCAGCTCTCGACCCCGCGTCACAAGAGCACGCCGATGAAACCTGGTTGGCCAACTTTGAGAGCTCTGCCCTTGGCTCAGGAATGGAGCACGCTGAGAGGAGCGACGCGTCAAGGGTAGATAGGCCAAGCCCGCATTGGGTGTATCGAGCTGCAGAGCCAGTCTTGGGCTTCATCTGACGATGATGTAGCTACTTTTAAGGTTGGGTCTTCCTCTGTCTCTGCGAATCCGCCCTCCTCCGAGCTGCGCGCTCGAACGTGAACACTGCTTTCCTATCTACCCATCCCGTGGTCTTCAAGCCATACATTCCGTTACTCCGGGGTCACCACATGCGCGCAGTCGGTGATTGCGACACCCTTGGTATGCACGCAGCTTGAATCGGTCGACAAAGGAAATCCAATCCGCGGCATATACGCAACACCTCGAAGCGCGCTCAAGATTTCGCTTTCTCTCTTCTCTCTGTGTGGATATACCCTACCAGTCTTATTATTATGTCAAACAACACTGAAGAAGAGACGTCGCCGGCGAGTGTAAAGAGTGGTACGATCGTCATCGCGATCATCGTGCCCTCGGTCTTGATCATTTTACTTCTTACGCTGGTCATCATGTCAGTCTCCGCACTGGTGTCAGACGACCTCATGCATGTCTAAGCTGACGATAGGAACCGCCGCAGGGGCTTCATTCTCCCACGATGCGTCCGCGATGAATCTACTCACAAAGAGAAGCGCTGGAAGACGCGGCAAGACGAGCTGGAGACGCACATCAAATCACAAAATTTCTATGATTGGCTCGAAACTCAAAAGGAAAAGTCTTCCGACTTATCGCAAGCATCCGATCCCCTGTGGTAAGTATGCGAGACAAGTCCTATTCGACGGGTGGACTGGACTGACTGTAAAACAGCGCCATCTGTCTTGACGATTTCGCCGAAGATGCGCAGGTTCGGGGCCTCCGCTGCTCTCATGCTTTCCACTCGCATTGCCTCGACGAGTGGTTCACAAGGTACAATGAGTACTGTCCCCTGTGCCATCGACCGATAATACCCGGGTCTCGGGCAGCAAGAAGAAAAGTCCGCGAAGGGATGGATCCAACCATTCCGGTAGTCTTAATGGTATAACTGCTGCAATGGGCAATGAGACACATAGTTCAAGCTTCGTGAGGCTCTCGAATCTTCTGAAGATGATGCACATCACTACCAGATCTTGGCATAGGCTGCTTTGGGCAATCGAGAGCGACCACATCCGCGAACAGGCGGACCAGACCCTAGATCGAAGAGCCCGGAGCGATGCACAGCCAGGGCTTAGACGCAGCGGAGACGGGTTTAACAACGGGTTTCTAGTTGCTTCGCCTACACGGGAGCATCCGCGCCACAACCGCGTACGGCTAACGGACGGTTCTCCAGTACCTGCCTTTTTAATCTTGAGAATGCCAGGGTCGGTCGAGCGGTCGGGCGGAGACTATGAAGAAGTGGGTCAATATACTCAACTCAAGACACTATGCGTCTTAGGAAGAGCAATGGCCTTCCGCTCAAGCGTAATGGTAGCACCACACCGACGAGAGGAAATAATTCGATGGTGATAATCTAGGGACATGGATAACTAAAGTCCCAGGATATAGGGGAGTAGAGCTCAGTCTACGGGTAACCTCTAGATGCCCGGCATTTCCTTGTCTTGGCGAAATAGTTCTCGCTATATCGATTCGCATAGATACACCAAACGAGTTTTGAACCTCTCGCGAAGACTATTTGCGTGCTTTCACTTCCCCTGCAAACAGAGAGGGCATGCAGGCTTGGTCTTGATAGCATAGGCGCATGTTGAGATGCGGCTGCTATTAGTGGGGCAGCCCGAGGCCGCTAACGGGAGCGTCGTT